TGGGGGGGGGGTAGGGAAGGGTATTTATGTGGGTAGGTAGGTAGGAATAAAGATACCGACTATAGGGATCTCATACATACAGTGCAGTATCCACGAGACACCGCCGCACAGGAAGAAAATCTCGTGCTTCAGTCGGATGTTCCTTCAGAATCATATGATATAGTAATCTTACTTCATTCGATAACCTTACCTTTTAATAGATAACGACCCTAATTCATCCCCTCATCATCACTGTTCACATATATACATCCAAACTCCCATATCAGCCTAACGTACTTCATGTACTTCATAAAACAACCTCCAAAACCAAACCTACAATCAATCATAACCATACTCCATCAAAAAGTCAAAAAATCAAAATTAAAGCTACTGTATTCCGACTTATAAACGTCTAATTCTTAAAAATGTGAAGAGGGTAAATTATTGGGAATCTTTACTATTATTCGGGTCTGAATCTTTGTTTTTTTATTATTAGAATCCTAGTTACAGTATAGTGATATGTAGGATTTTTGAAATTATGGTACTGTGATAAGGTACAGGTGATAGGGGTTGTGGCATGAGGGGGTTTTGTAGATGATATAGTCGGTGCGATTAAGTCTGAGCCATTTAGCCGAACCCCACCAAAAATCGACGATTTGCCTAGTTTTTAATTGCTTATAAGTATATAGACCTCAGATAAAACTATTATTCCTCCTAGGTACTTATAGTTGAGTACCCTCTTAGTAGATTTATATAGGTGCATTAAGCTATATATAAGGTCTTTATTAGTATATATCGTAATCTTCTAGGCATACTAATTTTTATACCGAATTTAGGCCGAATTTGGTATAAAATACTACTTTTCTAAATAAGGACAACTTTATACGCTTTTTATTTAATGCCCTATATACTCTAACAAAATCGGAAGAGATAGAAAGGACGGAAACGTTAAAATAAAGGGATTTTGTAAAGGATTTTGTAAAGGATTTTGTATTTCCTATTCGCCTTGTAGGTTTTTTATACACGTGATTGTGCCGAGTTTTGGTGTAAAAAGTGCAAATGGCTCAGACTTAATCGTTAGTACTGTATAGGCTCGCTCGTCTTGGATTTATGTAAGTAGAAAGGAGTTGTGAGGATCTATAGTCGAGTAGGATTTTTTTAGATTTTAAGTGATGTTTGGAGGGAGAGGAAGAGAGGAAGGGAGGAAGGGAGGAAGGGAGGAAGGGAGGAAGGGAGGAAGGGAGGAAGAGAGGAAGAGAGCCATTTATTTATCTGTGTTTTGTGGGGAATATCGTTATAGTATGGGTAAAGTTGGAAATAGGGTTTTCTTAACCCGTGAGGTAGGGATTTAGGGATTTGGGGATGTGGTTGGGGGTTGTTGGGTGGGTAGGTTTCTTTATATTGTTTTCTTTGAGGGGATAGCTAGGAGGGCTGGGTGGGTGTTAAGGGGGGTAGGTGGGTTGTGATAATTATGTGAGAGACTTGTGAGATTTGAGAGTTTTACTTGATATACGGTAAAGTCGTGGAAGTTGGTGTTAGATAGTAGATATTACTTTCCCCTTGTACTATTATAAGGAATAAGGCAAGGGGTATTAGAAGGAAGAGAGAAAATAAGAAACAGAAGAGCTACAGGTGTCGTTATATCCACCCAGGAGCGGGTGGTGGCTTACTAGTTAAGAATATATCGCATAGTGTTACTGTATGTACTATAAGAGTCTCACGTCTCACGTGACTAACATCGGATATTCCCTAAGGAGTAGATATACTGATAATAGGGGAGCTGAGAGTAGGCGTGTTATGATTTAACGCAAGAATAGTAGTTTACTTATAGAACTAAAAGATATTACTACTAAGTTCTAGCTAGTAGTCTCTTTTTATATAAATAAAGAAGTCTACTAGAGCTAGTCTTACTATATAGAAGTATATTCTATTCGATAAAACTCTAATGATAAAGAGGGAACTTATTCTGGGGCTATATAAGTCAATTGATTTCTGATTATTCTGGTATTCTCGGCGCTCTATACATATATTCCCTTTAACAGGTTATGAGCCTGGGGGTAAGCTTGAAGGGGAAGTGAGGTGAAGGGGAACGAAGGCAGAAAGCTTTATTAAATCAAAAGTTCGTCCTTCTAGGAGGTACGGCGATACGGCTGATTGGCAAGGGGAAAACAACGAGTATCGTGCTCTTATTATTATTGTAACTCAGTAGAAAATAGAGCTATCTAAGTGCCAGAAGTGGTGTATACCAGGGCATTAGGCCCTGGGTGGGCTTGATACCTTAGGCACTAATTGGATAACAAATATCCCTCAAACAGTCCTTTCCAATCCACCAGAAACAGGAGCCAGTGTGGTATTCAATATCGGACCATTAGGCACTGGAGAGCTGGCTGGTATTTGTCGAGTTGAAGATCCTCTACCAGAGGTTTCAAGTGATTTGATAGAGGCCCGTCCACATTGGACACAATCCACGTCCTCTTGACGAATAGAGGCACGTCGTAGCTACATCCATCGAATGTAGGAGCGTGCTGGTCGGGTTACGAGACACCCCGACCAAGGAGCAGAACGAGGAAGAGAAAATGAGTATTACGCACACCGAACCGAGGTCGGATAGAAGACTGGCAATCACTAAATTGAAGGTTCTCTACCAGAAACTGCGGATTCGAAGTTACGAAGCCTTGCCAAATTAAGCTCGTCCAAAATGGACTACCAGGAAAAACACTAATTTACCTACAAAGCGTACGCGGTGCGGGCACAAAGGAAAAGTCCTCTTTGTAACACATCCATGGCGAACTCAGAACTTTCGAAGTCTCAGTCTCAGACAAAGACACCTCCAACATCAAGCCACAAAAGACAACTCCAACGTCGAATCTCAAAACAACTCGAATCAACAAACTATCATCTAACCTACGAATGATGGAACACCTCTCACAGTGCAGAGGTGATTGCGAGGATTGAGGAACAGGAGTGTAAGGAATGATAGTTGAATAGAAATGGGTGTGTGGCGCATGGAAAAGGGATAAGACAAGCAGTCTCTTTTGTTTGCTTCCATAGCGATAGAAAGAGGCTGTGTTGTCGTTTGATCGAACGAGTTGATTCTACCGCATGGAATAGGACCGAATAGCTCTATTCGGTACAATTCAAGAAGAGAAAATTAGCTTATGCCAGGGCTAGCTATGCAACCTGGCTTCCTCTAAAAGTAGCTTAGTTAGATAGTCATCGGTTTGCAACTCTCTTTCCAGTCATGTTGGCACTCTTGGCAATTCGCACACACAAAATCCCTTCAAGAAAGATTTCTGGATTTCAAGTATCTTTGTCGCTATACGAATATCGAGTGAATACTCGGTATGAGCTATAGTACGTGCAAGTCGGCCTTAGGGCTAGCAGGGGCGCCAGCGCCTTGGAACTGCTATATAATAGCGAGTACCTATAACCTTTACTCGATGTACACATCCGATAGTCGAATATAATACTATTCTATTTATATTAATACTTTATCTAGACTCTCTATTAGAGTCAAACTAATACTAATTAGTAAGCGCGTATAAATCAGACAACTCTATATAATACAAGTATTATATACTATGTTTAAGTCTAGTATTATTATTATATCCGAGCTATTAAGAGTATAGTACTATTTACTAAAAGATTATATTTCCTAATAGAATTTAGTAAAATCTCTGTAATAAATACTATACTATTATTACTAGATGTGAGAGGCCAGACCTCGAATAGCTCAAAGGTGTGGTTTCGAATATTCAATTAAGAAGTGCGTGAAGACTACATACATGCAATCTCTTCCTCTATATATAGAGAGAGGAAGAATTTCTGGAGTCTTCCAAGAAACTGTTTGACAAATACGTGACGTCAAAAGAATAGAGTAGAAAAGTGTAGAAAAGGAGAAACCAATTTAGCAGTGGAGCAATGGCCAATGCTGAGCGGGGACTTTGGTCAGTGCTTAGCGAGGGCATGGCCCGAGCCTCCATCATGGGTTCCAACCCTCACATTACCTACGATTATAGAGATCGAGTTAAATTAGTAACCGATAGAGTTACTAATATTATTAGTACTTATAGTATTATTTATAAGGATTATTCTATAAAGGATTAATATATTACTTAACAAGTACTAGGAGCTTATGTAGCTATAGTATACTAACCTAAGGCGGTATTCGATTTAAGCGTTATAGTATAAACTCTAAACCCTAAGAAGAGCGATATTAGTATATTAAATAAGCGCCTTTAATAGTTAATTAATAATCTAAAGTATAGACTTAAATATATACCTTTAAATATTAACTTACTAAAGCTTCTGTTATTTATAGACGCTTCTTTTATAAACCTAATTAACCTTTCCTCTTAAATAGGCTATATTTTATACTTAGCGAATAAGAATAATAATATAGTTATTTTATACTAGAGTTCTATAAAATATAGAGTATTAATATCTAAGTTATATAATTTAAGCGGCGGGTTTAATATAGTAGGGGTTATTAAGTTAATACTAGAGGCTATCCTAGGTAAGATACTTAAATTAACAATTTATATAGATTCTAAGTTAATATACGAATACTTAATAAAACTGTTGGTACGACCTGGTGGTCGTGACGACGGCGAATACGGGATTCAAGTCACCTTCTCTTTGGAGGTAACTAAATCGGTGTATTCATTTGTTCGTGAAGAGTAAAGGTAGAGAGATGTGGTGCTCTACGAGCTTAAGTATGTGGGTGGCAAGCCACTCACATGACACCAAGCATGTAGAACCACCAAGCTCTCGTACGAGGTGCTAATCACCATAATTATATACCGACAAAAACTTAGTATAATAAAAGAGAAGCGTCTTATAATTAATATAATAGTATTACGCTAGGTATATAAGTAATATAAAATCTATAAGATCCTTTAGATTAAGGGAACTACAAATCCTACTAATATAATAACGAAATTAAAGCCTTACTAGGTACTAGTTGTACTTATTAATATAAATAAGATTAAAATCATAGTCAAAGAGTAGTTTAAACGTAAAGATATTAGTAAAGGATAAAACAATAATAATATAGAGAATTAGTAGATTTAGATAGATTTATAAATTATAAGGTATTAATAGACTTAATTAATATTAAGGGAGAAATTAACAGATTTAATTAGTTAAGGACTTTAGATAATTAGTTATTTACACCGAGTCTTTTACTTCTTTTAAAGTAGGCCTAGTATCGCTATAATATCTAAGTAAATATACTTAGTAGCACGGACTACCTAACTAGGCCAGTCCTACCTATATTATAGTAGTACGACTTCCACACCTTTAACTCGGTGTACATCAACAATAGGAATAGTCTAATACTAAGGTTTAGCCTCTTCCTGTATTACACCTCGTATTTAACAATAAAGTCAAACCACCAATAAGTATTAGTAGATATATTATTTATAACTTATAATTTATAATTACCTTATTATTAGTCTAAGGGTTTATTTCAGTTATCGTATTAGGCGCGCTATAAGCTATAGTCTAACTTATTTTATACTACTAAAGTTATAAGATCTTACTGCCGTTAAGTACTAAGACTTAAAGCTGGTATCCCTAACCCAAAGATCGAAATATACAGTACTTATACGACGTTAAGGAGATATAAAAAGGACCCCTCTCTCACGAAGCGAGCCGACCCTTCCCGCGTCACTTCAAAACAACGAGCTCTTCGAATCAGAAGACACTGGTTCCTGCGAATCGGTGTGACGACACGCACAGCTGATGGACCGCGCAAGAGCACGACTACGTCAGGTATCACGAGTGGTGAGATTGACACTGTGGAACTGTCTATTCGAGGATTCTAAGCTAAGGAGAGAAGAGAAGAGAGCAGAACTCGGGAGCCAGAGGTTCTTATATACAGGAGGTTGTGCCAAGCTATGGCTAACTGAGCCGGGCTCAGGAAGCACGGTATCCGCTGGGTTCCAGCCAGGGGCTGGTCTGAGGTGTAGTGGCGGTTAGAACCGTCACAATCGGCAGACATATGAAGATTCGCTGGGAAATACACATAGAAGGATCACTCGGAATCCCCTCTTCTGCCACTTACCGATATAAAATATCACTCTTTTGGGAATCGACACTTCTCATTTGTCGGGACATCGCTCCGATCCGCGGAACCACCATTCAGTTCAGTGTTTGGAATATCCCCTCCTCTCCTCTCCTGACTACTAGGAAACGAGTAGGAGATCTATATCTTTGGCTAGGAGAAGGAGAGGAGAATGGGTCACTTGTCTGGAAAGGAGTGGATAAGAAGAGGTGGGCTTCGGGAGAGGAGTAGGAAGGAGAGGTTAAAATAAGGTGGAAAAATGAGGCTATTCGCAAGTAGGCCAGGTTCGTCAAAGTACGCTAGTTCGCTAGTTCGCCAGGTTCGTTAAAGTATGCTAGTTCGCTAGGTTCGTTAAAAGTACGCTTTGTTAAGAGCTACGTACTTGTCGGGTTTATAAGTCTAAAGTACCCCCTAACGCTAATATTATTTCTACTTTTAAAATTTATCTACAAACATCAAATTAAATTTAACTTGCGTCTGCAAAATAGTTATACAGTTGTTATTAGAGGTTGCGTATATAATAGCTATATTTATATTTAAGGATTATAAAAAATTTAGTAGTAGAAGGAATATTAGTAATAAGAGGTACTTTATGTTACGGAGTTGGAGGGACAAGGGGTAGATCACGTGTAGCACGGCACGTGCGTGTTGCTCAAATCTTGTATATAAGCTTCCGTTCCTCTGGTACTCTCTTCTTCCCTTACTTTGTTATTCGCTCAATATAGCAGTTTACACTTGACTCCGTATCTTATCACAGCAAGTAGTGGTTTACTCCACACGTTTACACTTTAGACTTATAAGCCTAACAAGTACTACTATATATTTATACTCGAGTCCCTTACTATAGATGAAGGACGTGTATGTCTACCTAATTTCCACTTGTTTCACTATTATATTTTAGACCTATTTTAGACTTACTAAAACCTATAATACCTAGCCTTAGCCTTTAGCCTTTAGAAGTACTCCCGCCCTCTCCTATCTAGTATCCTAGCGAGGATAAGGAGTACTAATTAGTTAGGATTAGAGTAAGGAGAAGACCGCTCTAATTTATACGAACAGGAACGGAGATTCTATAGGAGAGGAGTAGCGGGGAGAGGCTTAGAGGGGAGATTCTAAACACTAATTTATTTTTTTAAGATAGATACAGCTTCAAATAAGTACGAAGCGCGCATCTCCTGTTCCTTCCTAATATCCAATTGCCCTAGCGAATTTGTATATATTGGTCGGATCGTACGAGCTCGTTCTTTTTAATATACCCGAGTAGGGTCTGCTCGCTTCGGGAAAAGGGTAGCTACTTAAAAACGCCATATTAGCGGAAGCGTGGTCAAGTTGGTTTATAGTGCCGAAAGCTGGTTTGGTTTGTTCCAATAAATTTAAGGATCTTTTTAAAGAGAAGCTGCTTTTGAGTAGAAGTATTAAGTTCTTTTATGTTACAGTATAATGGTGCACTTTTAGAGTAGCATCTGGTCTACTCATACACCCGTGAAAGGTGCAGGTGGAAATTTACACATCTCGCTTAATTAAAGCCTCGGCTATATGCGCGATACTTGTTGAACCCTTGCCAGAATCAAGACAATCATAGAAGGGGCTAGTAGAAGGATCAAGGTTTGATATTGGTGAATCAGAGATAACTGCAAAACCCAGTAATAAAAACGTACCTCATCACCGAAAGGAGTGCGCAATCAGCTGCTATTAAAGTATCAGTAAAGCTAAGCTAGATTTATAATGCGACAAGATGTTCCCTACACTTCATTTTTGGCCAGAATTGAGAAGATGGGAGCTTTGAGCGAAGAAATGCGATGATTGAGAAGAGGGGGTTGGAAAGGTGGCTGAGAGGGTTGAGTGAGAGGTGGCTGGCTATATATGTGGAGGTAGCGTGTTGATATACGTGTCGCTCTACCTTTTGAAAGTAACAGTGTCTTCTAGTGAACCTTGCCGTCACTGCGAGTATTGTAGCGATGATACTGTAACGGTAGGTTGAACGGTATTCCTTTAAATAGGTAGTACTATTCGTAGTAATTCATACAACTAAGCATGTTCCTTGAAACTAAGGTAAAATACGCAAAGCAGATGAATAGACGAAAAAAACAGCCAAAAGAAAGAGATGAGAGGGAAAACACTACAACTCTGTTCATTTTCAATCAACACCAAGAAAGAAACTCTTCCACATCGCCAACCTCCTTCTCAATCGCCCCCTCAACACCTCGTAAAATCCCCCTTCTATACCACACCGGCAACCTAAAACATCCCGGCGGGTCACCCTCAGGATATGACCATTTCAATTTCAACAACCCCATCAGAACCGCTCTTCCCAAAACCGCCCTCCTCATAATCGGCTCCAGATAAATAAACCAACCAACGTCAAACTGAATATCCTCTAGTTCGTTCAGCAGACGAAAAGCCCGTGTGATATCACGGTAGATGTCGTACAGGAGTTGCAAGTCCTCATCGTCCTCTGCGTAGCCGCCAGTGTCGAAGGTTTCGAGGATGACGGTGATGGAAAGGTGGGTGGTGTTGAGATTTTGCTTGATGCATTGGATTAGTTGGGTGAGTTTGTTGTTGTAGCTACGTTTTGTCCAGTTATTGATTTCGGTTTCGGAAAAGTGGAAGTGTATCCGTCGGATGTGTTTTAATGTTTCTTGTGGGAATTTCTGTAGGAAATGAATAGTCTCTATTGGATCTTGGAGAAACTCGAAGGCATTCTGTGAATGTAAGACCCTGATTGTATCTGCTCTCATTTGTTTGCTAACGAGTAAGAGGGCGAATGGAATGTGACGACACTCGCAAGTTGAGGAGTAAGCTGCGCGAGTCGAAGAACAGCAACAATCGATCCGAGTGGGCGTACACTTTCGACAGCAGGTTGTGATTTTATTGACAAGCTCATTGTTCACGATTTTCAGGAGATGGCTGTCCCGGGAATACAAATAGTGGTCGCCAAGATGTGTATAACTGAGAATCAGAAGACGTAACTCTTCAGGCAGACGCTGGAAGGGGAACGTTCCTGGTGTTTTGATGAAGAGAGCTTGTGCACGAAGAGAGTATTCTTCGGCTAGTCGAGATAACTCATCATTGGAACCTCTGCCTAGTCGAATAGTACATCCTTTCAATGTCGCCAAGGTCAATAGTGGCTCAACAACAGCCATGCCAGATGCTCTGTCTACGACGTCGCAGACGAGCGTGAGATTCAAATGCTTAGACATAATTGATGATTCAAGACCCTTAGCGAACCACCGCCACCAGTGGACAAGATCATCACCAGCTCGAGATGTGATATCCATAGCAGGATCTGCATTTGTGGAATCAAATTTGCAAATCCCACATTGAAGGCCATCGCCCCCTGCTTCTTCATGTCCCCGTGGGCACGGCCAGCAGTTGAGTCGAACCAAGAGGGAAGTGAGAGTACCTTGAATATGCCGGCCCACATGAAAAGACTCAAACCCCCGGGCATCGTAGATCCGAACCGCGAAACGATTACGTGAATAAAAGGCCTTGAAAATATCATGGTAAAATGTTCGAGAGACCAGTAGAAGTCGTAGGAGCGGCAACTTTGGGCATTGGCAGTCCGGTATGTCTGGAGATACCGATGGGGTACTCTTACCACCGTATTTTCGAGCGATGTACAAGCACTTCATCGGTATCGTAGAGCAGAGATACCAGCCTGGTGAAGCAGAAGAAGAAGATTCGTCTGGCGGGTGGTATACCTCTGGACGGTTGAACTCGATCGGACACAAACGAAACAAATGCAGGTACGCATAAATTCTGTGCCTCGTATCGAGTGAGAGATCCATAAATGAAGCCATATTGGAGTTTGAAATTGCACTCTCGACAGCTCGGAGATGATGAAAGCAGGGGTGCCTTGAGATAGAAGAGGTGGAGGAGAGGAGTCATGGCTGAATGCCCACATGGAATCCAACAGGCTTCCAACAGCACCCATGGTCCAGCCTGTGGTACAGTAAGAGCTTCCTAGGTCCTAGGAGGTCCAGAGGATACCTATTTCGCACAGCTCTTCCTTACCCTACTTCTTATTCTCTGTTAAATGTTCATCATACGGGAAACCCCTCGTCTCACTTACCAAGGTACTTACTGTAGCCCTAACATAATATCCCTCCCCATCGAGTCGCAATCTCTCCGAAAATTTCGCGTCGCTAAACAAAAATTCCCTAAAGCACATGTAACCACAAAAAAATAAGATCCACAATCAAAGCTGAATTGTCTATGCTTTTGAGTCTAGTTCAATTCCAGCTTCGCGAGGAACTTGATATTTCCTAGGTATGCATCCCTATCCCTATCCCATCCATCCTATACCGTCATCCTATCCCACCCCAGCCCATTCATCTATCCCCCCTCCATACCCCTCATTCCCAGGCGTATCAACCCATCATCAGACATCACAACGCGATCCACAAAATCCATTCCATGCCCCTCAAAAGTGGATGGCAAAAACCAGCGATAGCCTCATCCAAACACCCTCCCAATTCCACCCTCCTGTATTCCGCCCAAAGTCAAAGAATTATCGATTGTGCTAAGTGGTGCAAATTAAGTATATGTGCAGGTCGTATTATTCGCTTGGTTTAAGAAAATGCACCTTTCGTGTATCGCACGATCTTGTCCTCTTCCCATGTAGAGAAAACAAAGGTGGGGAAAACTAAAAGTCCTTGAACAGGTGGCCATGTCTGAGTTTTGTTAGTATAAGAAAGAGTTGGGCGAAATATATTCAAAACTCACTCATCGTGCCCAGTAGCCCCATATACTTCGGTCTCCTCTGGGTACTTATCGAATTGACTTGCATCACCAACCCCAGCTTTGACTGGTGGAACGTATGGCGCATCGATATCTTTCTTTGCCAATCTCTCCCATGTCACCTCGGCAAACCACTGATGGTTTTTGACATCCTCAGAACCACCATGTAAATTGCCAAGTCTCTTGGTCAAATCAGCTGTAATAAGACGTTGGAGCAGATCCTGAGCATCTGGGTGAATGTAAGGAGGATATTTGACCCGCCCCTTGAGAATGTTCTCGTAGATCTTCATGGGTGAACCGCCATCCCAGAATGGAGTGAATCCACACAGCATTTCAAAGATCAATATACCGAGCGACCACCTACAAATTTATTAATGCCATCCACTAGTAAGCAGGCAAGATATTTACTCACCAATCAACAGATTTGTTGTACCCCTTGCTAGACACCACCTCTGGGGCAAGGTAATCAGGCGTACCGCACAACGTCCAAGTAATATCGGGCACCTTTTTAGCAAAACCGAAATCGGTAATCTTGAGATGACCATGACGATCAAGCAGTAGGTTCTCAGGCTTCAAATCTCTGTAGATGATGTGCTTGGAATGAAGATACTCGAGCGCCAAAGTGACCTCTGCTGCATAAAATTTGGCCACTGGATTTGGAAATCGCTACCATCTGTCAGTAACACTCACGTATGAGGTGAAAAAAGGAGTATTCTACCTGCGACTTTCGTAATAACGAGAAAAGCTCCCCACCCTCAACAAAATCCATCACCATGTACAGATTCTTCGAATCTTGGAATGTACCCCATAATGTGATTAAGAATGCGTGCTTGACTTCTTGCAGCATTTTTCGCTCGTCGTTGGTATGCTCAACTTGCTTCATTTTGACGACTTGCGCCTTTTTCAATACCTTGACAGCATAAAATCGTTGATTGTGCTTCGACTGGACCAGGTGCACTCTGCCAAAACTACCAGTTCCCAAAGTTCTCAGTATGTTGAAATCTCCCAGCGAATATTTGCCTTTGGTCTGTCTTATCACCGTTGGCTGCTCCACCACCGAAGTAGAAGTCTGTTTTGCGGGTGTTGCTGGTGGAACTACGGGCTGTGAAATGTAATTAGCCGCTGACGTCCCAGCGGGAAGAGGCTGAGAGCCATTTGAAGTATTAGAAGTGGCAGAGGGTGCGTTGGACATCTTTAAAGGAGTGGACTGGCCTGCGCCATCATGCTGCGAGGGATGGATGAGATTGTTGATCGAGGGCAGATTTTGCCCTGTTGACGAAGAGGTAGTATTATTCGTATCTGGTAGTGACTGGGCCTCTTGGGCGGAGTCCTGTTGTTGAGGCGGTATTCTTTGTGTCATTGGCTGTTGATCACCCACGATTGCGGGCACTTCCTCTGATTTGACTGGAAGTACCTGGGAGCTCAGATGTGAATGTACCGTTGACTGGGTGGAGAGTGAAGCGATGGAGGCATCAAACCCTCGCGAGGAAGTTGGAGTAATCGGGCTGGTGGGTTGACTGGCAGAATTGGGCAAGGAGGGGTCGTTCTGGCCAGGAGACTCCCGTGTCCGTTTCTTCTTTAGAAAGCCTAACGTCGGCATATGAAGGGGCGAGCGAAGGTGGTGGAAGAATGACTGACTTTTTTCCAGTTTGGTACGGTCAACCTTGACCTGGCGACAGTATCAGCGATGTGTTGAAGGTGTGAGAGGGAGGTAGAGGATCATACGACAAGAGCCCTACTTGGGGTAGAAGGCGCAGGGTGGTGCACCTCACTGGTCTGCTCCGTCGGGCAGAAATAGTGCCAGCTAAGATGGCTGTGGAATGTCGTGGGAGCAGTGAATCAACGATTGCGCACAACAAGAGGAAGGAATGAGATGCGTGTCTGCGTGTCTGGGTGTCTGTGAATGGGGGTGGAATGTCGGCAGCTACGTCTTTGGTCTTTGGTCTTTCCTGGGAAGGCCACAGCAAGCGATGCGATCCAAGTATCGTATCGTGGGGAAGCCAACGCGGAGAGGTCGCACGACACAATGGGCGGGTGAATGGCTACAGATTCGTCCAATTGAGGCACAGGAAATAGTCAATTGGACAGAGTAAGGGAAGGAGAAGAGAGAGGCAGCGAGGTGAAGATGTCGAAGGCAGGACAGAGGCAAAGGCAGAAGGATGCGCAGAGATACCAGTAAGGTCAACTGCGCTGGTACTGGTGCTGGGCAGTGGGCTGGTCGCACTTGGTCCTTGGACTTGCTTGCCAGGTGGGCGGGGAAGCGCTAGCGCCCACAAGCATCCCCGTCCCCCCCCCCTTCACATTTTGCATGGGACGGGGAACAACTGGGTTGGGTCTGGCCAAGCTTCATCTGCTTTGGGCTGTGTGAAGTTTGAACACTACTGAAGAGGCACAGCACAGCACAGTACATACTAAGGGCAATTGAGGCTTTTATGATGAGTTTCTTATGAAGCATATGCCCCCTTATGTAAGTATCTACCCCCCTCTTTAATGAAAAGCGGTTTGTTACTACCGCCCATTCCCTTTCAAGAAAGGGCACGCAATCTACGGCGCATCGCTATCACAAGCCACCATCCAAAGGCAGATCTTATCAAATTATGGCAGCAAGACTTTCCCACCACTCCAGCTGCCATTGGATGATTGGAACAACCGAGTGCATTGGTCATCATACACCCACGAGGCATCCACGAGTTGGTCTTCCATCTTCATCACACATCTTCCGTGGCCCCACGGCCACGCCATGCAATAATCCCGCCTTGTTCTCCGTCATACTGGAAATGGGTATGGACTGGGTATCGACCGCATAACATTACCCCGCCAGCTCGAGTCTATTCTTAGTCCACGCGAACCATTCATATTCGACAAACAACCTCTCCCCAACTCAATTACACGGAGCTGCCGATTGTCTCTGTGAATTCCCGCCCGCCTTTTCGCACAATTTATGAGAGTCCGCGTCTCGCCGCAGCAACTCTCTCCATCCTTGAAATCCCCGAAGTTCAGCAATTGAAGAGTTTGGACCGTCGTTTCAGCACCGGGTTTTTTCTTGCTGAAAAGAACACGTCGGGAATCCTCCACTTCAGGTCCGCATTTTATCGTTTCATCCTCGGCCAACTACGCCCGTGTTAATCGTACATTTTATAAGTTTCAAGTGATTCGCGAAAGAACACCTTTCGCCGTGGATGAAAAGAGCGGTGGGAGTTGAGGGTGTTCCAAAGTTGTTTTGGTATCATTTCTTTGAAGAAGTGTCCGGGAAATACCCACTTCACTTCTTTCTATCCCTCATCTCTGACCACATTCGATCGATAAACTGGAAGACCATGGTAACCGCTTGCATAACATCCTCACTAACATCCTGCCCTCCCAATTTCTGTTGAATTTTGTCCGGATGCCAGCGAATACGTTCCAACTTCAGAATCTTCCCCAACTCTGCTTCCGTAGGCTGTCCAGAAGTCGGCGCATTCAAATAAAACCTCTCGATTTCCTTGAAATCAATGTCCTTCTTCCTTCCACTCTCAACAGGCCATGGAATAGAAGCAACCGCAACTTTACCATCCCCTCCTTTCCCAAGTCCCTCCCACTTCTTTGTATACGCCTCCCATCTCTCCCCCCAAGCCTTCCTACTCTTCCTCTCCTCTCCTCTCCTAAGACTCTCCTCAACTTTCCTCCTGAACCTCTCCGCTTCCCTTTCTTGTTCCCTTCCCTCTTTCGCAAGCCGTTCCCTCTCCTTCTTAGCCTCTTCCCTCCTCGCCTTTTCCTCGACCAGATGCTGATGCGTCTTCTCATACATCTTCGCCCTCACATACGCAGTATATTCCTCATCCGTCATGCGTTCCAGCTCGCCGGTAGGTCCCTCCTTGACGTCAGGATAGGTATGAATCGGTTGCCCATACACGCCTTCCCAGTACGCGGCGCCTTCATCATCGGCCATCGCATCAAAGAGACTTTCCCGGAATGCGACATCTGGATCATACTGTCCTGAGGATGTATTTGAAAGGTGAGTATCGTCGTAGAGTGAGGGATCATCTTTGGCTTTGGTGGGGGAGGGGGAGCGTTTGCGACGCTTGCTGCGATGATGGTGTCGGTGGTGACGATCGCTTTCTCGATGGCTTCTATGGGATGGGCTTCGAGTCCGGTCATCGTCGTGAGATCTTCTTTTTGATTTGAACCTGAATTTCGATTTTTGCGATGTCGAGTATTCATCGGAATTCTTGTCCTTGCTTATCTCTGCCGTTGCGCTTTCCATGCTTGCGACGGGGTCGCCTGACGTCTCACTCGTCATCGCGGACGAAAGAAGCTGAATCTATCTTGGGCTATGAAAGGAACCATTGAGAGGAGTTTCGTACTTGATGGTGAGGTACGTTGTGATTTTCATGAATGCGTTGAAGTTTGACGGTGAATGATTGGGCGGGGGCGTATTTCGAGGAAGCGCCCTCCAGGTGCCAGTCACAATTGTGGTTCCAGCCTTCTCGCCGAGGCTGTCGCAACTCAAATTCCCATCCACCTCCTAAACACTTTCACTTGCTCATAAACCCAACAACCTTGATCAACAAAACCAACTCGAACCCAATATGTCCGGCGCCGGCCTCTCCTACGGACTAAATCTCTCTAAGAAAAAACCCGCAAACAAACCCCAGCCTGCAAAACGAAAAGGTCTCTTTGATGACGACGACTCCGACGACGACAGCAAGCCCACCTCCACAGGCGTCGAAGAAATTGGCGAATTCGGCGGTCTCTCAAGCGCCAAAAAACCATCTCTGCCCTCACGAAATGCAGGACCACCAAGTAAATCCAAGCCCAATGGTGGCGCAAAGAAGGCGCCAATTAGCATGTACGGCGACCTCTCAGCATCTTTCACATCGAAGAAACATGCCGAGAAAGCGGAGGAATTAAATGCGAATATCTACGACTACGACGCGGTCTACGATTCGCTGAAACCGCAGAAGAATGTCACGCAGGAGGATAAAGAGAGGAAACCAAAGTACATGTCTAATCTCCTGGCCGCCGCTGCGGTAAGGAAGCGCGATGCGACGATTGCGGAGGAGAAGAAGTTGGCGAGGGATCGGGAGGCGGAAGGTGATGAGTTTGCGGATAAGGAGAAGTTCGTTACGTCGGCGTATAAGAAGCAGCAGGAGGAGAATAGACGGTTGGAAGCTGAAGAGAAGATCAGGGAGGAGCAGGAGCTGAAGAAGAATAAGGGTGCGGGAATGACGAATTTTTATAAAAATATGTTGGAGAAGGGGGAGCAGAAACATGCTGATATTGTCAAGGCGGTGGAAGAGAGAGCCAAGATGGGACCTGAAGTGGAAGAAGATGAGAAGAAGGAGAAAACTGAGGCGGATATTGCGAGGGAAATTAATGAGAAGACGGGTGGTGCTATTGCTGTTAATGATGAGGGGCAAGTTGTTGATAAGAGACAATTGCTCAAGGGTGGTCTCAATATTGTCCCCAAACCAAAAAGTGCAGCGCCGACCAATACTGCACGTGGAGGAACAGCCTCTGATCGAAGTAGAGGAGCCGGATTCGTAGGCGCTGGTGGTGGAAAACAGGCAATGAGGGAACGACAATCACGAATGATGGAGGCACAGCTAGAACAAGCCACCAAGCGAGCCCTGGAAGAAGATGAAGAGAGACAAAAGATTGAACGAGCTTCGAAGAGTAGAAAGACCGAGGGGGATATCATGAGTGCCAAAGAAAGATATCTTGCTCGTAAAAAGGAGGCTGAGGAGGCGAAAAAGAGGGGTGAGGTGCCTTGAGAAGATGTGATTCTTAGCCCTCAATTGGATTCTACAATTGCTCCAAAACTACCGAGTTTTTCAGGATAAGTCCATGCAGCCCAACTAGGATTTTGGATTGACCTCGTAGACTGCTGCAAGTACCCGCCAATCGTAGATGTTGGGACAGTCCAAATCCAGTTTGATAGACACCATTTCATGTAAAAGAGGGAATCCTGGAGAAGGCCGCATGAAATTCCAATTTTTTGATCTGGCAATATCACAATAACTTGTGTATGAATCGAACGTCGTTTTTGCAGTAGCAGCTTCCTTTGATATATCCCCCAAAGATCCAGCCATACCGAACTGGTGATTGATATCATCTAACCCTCAAATCACAATAACACAACCATCGGCTCAACGCCTCCAATACCCATAATACACCCCCTCTATTGTACAAACCCCATCGTGTGTGATCATACAGGTTATCCTTTGCATCCTCTCATAACAAACCCCCCTAGAACACCCCTCCACCAGCCCCCTTGGCACTCTCCTGCTGTATCCTCTTGATATACGTCGTCGACACGATGTTCCACGCTGCCATGTATTTCTCCATACACTGTGTGTAGCATTGTGTCTCGCCGCTGGATAATGAGGCGCCCGGTTTGGGGACGCATCTTTCGAAGCAGTGTTGGTTGACTTTCTGTGTGGTTGTGTTAGAATGTGTGTGGGCTTTTATTTGTAGGTGCACTTGGATGGGTGTGTATTTGGAATTGGAATTGGAATTGGAATGGAAATTTACCTCGATTAATTGGCGCGCGTTGGTCATGGCGGCTTCTTGTCGTACTTGGTTCATGACGGCGGATTTTGTGTCCTCCATTTTTGCGGGTTGGTGGAGGTGGTTGAGGAGACTTGGGGGTATGAGTGGCTATGAGATTGGGGGTGTGGTGGAGTTTTAATTCTCTGGGAGTTGGTGATTGATTTTGTAGAGTAGATGACGAACCTGAGCTTCGACCTCCAAACTTTTTGGTGGTGTCGAGTCTGCACAGTACGTGCAGTGGCAGGGGTGGAAGTGGTGCTGTTGGAATGTTAACCCCGAAATCAACATCGAAAAAGTGACCCTAACCCCGAAAGTTCTTCAAGAATCTTGAATTCAACCTATTGCCGCTTTAAGGCCTCCCCCAACCTCTTAAACCAGCGAGCGTGCTAAGCGAGCCACTCACACCCCAAAATGCAACAGGGGTCAAAGCTTTGTTGCACATCGCACTTCGCGGATTCTTCGGTGCCAAAAATGTTTAAGCCAACTTTTAAACCCCGCCACTAAAGCTTTAGTTAAATATTTTTTTGTATTTGGGATAGGTGTGTATGTTTACTAGAGGATATCTGAAGGGCTAAGCTTTTGAAATGGTGGTGTGGTTGTGAAGTGGTTCTCCGATATATTTCGTTGTTGTTTTTGATGAATTGGCGAGTTTGAGGATTGAAGGATTGCTGAACTCGCGCTACAAGTTCGGGTGCTGAGTCAGCAGGGGACTTTTGCTGCGAGGACGAGGGTACCTGCAACAGATGTTACAGGGATTGCAGCACCAAACAGCTGTGGGACTGACACCCTGACCTGACACCCTGACCTGACACCCTGACCTGACACCCCCGGATTAATTGCCTGGTGCGGTAGAAAGGCCAGCTATGGAATAACTTTGACGTGCTGCGCTGCGCTGCGAATGGTTCACTGGTTTTCCTCCTCACCAATTAATTGATTGACCACCACCCAACTGGCTCAGCCTTAATTACACCATTTCCTCGAATCCCTTCTTTTTTTCGTTTTCGCCTCATTTGCCCTTCTGGAACGACGCTGCGCATTGTTTTCTTTGGCGTGTCTTCTACCGAGCGAGCGATCATTTTGACGAGCCTTGAACCTCGGGAGAGAGCTTGGTGTTGGGTTGAGAGGGACGCAAACACATACGAACATACACACCATACGAAGGGAAATATGTGGTTCTCCTCGACGCTGTCGGCTGCCCTGGGGCTGGCAGCTCTGGCAAAGGGAGGTCCGCATGATCAGACTACCACGAATGCGGATGGAATAAGAAGCATACCTGTAGGACCCTTTTTTCTGCGCCGTGAAGGCATATGCTAACACAACTACTGCTAGCTGCGGACACATACTTTGGATTCGGTTCGTACTCGTCCGCTCGCGCTGGTTTGGGACTATGAAAGCTAATTTTGGGGATCTCGAATAGCCTTATTTAGATTCTGATATGCAGAGTCGGTGGTTTGATTTTGGGGGGAACACAATTATTCGCGCGGATCAGTATGTTGGATTCTCTCAACGGTAGATGACATGGGTGCTGATTTTCGGTTTGCAGATATATCAGACTTAGTTCTGATCGACCTTCACAGGCAGGATGGATATTCTCGCGCGTGCCACTTACGGCTACAAATTGGGAGGTATGTTTTCAGTTTCTCTCAGACGTTGTTGGAGTTTGGAGAAAGGCAAAATCTGATTTATTTGTCGCAGATTGAAATCGAATTCAAAATCCACGGGACCAACAGTCTCCACGGCGACGGCTTCGCAATGTGGCTCACCAAACAACGTGGAATACAAGGCGACGTCTTCGGCTCCGTAGACAAATTTGAAGGTCTAGGAATCTTTTTTGATACATACAAGAACAACCGACCTGGAACCGTCTTCCCATATGTGATGGCCATGGTAGGAGATGGAATCAAGGTCTATGACAAGGCCAACGACGGAAAGGACAATGAGTTCATGGGCTGCTCCGCACGTGGAATTAGAAATGCGAATATCCCCACCAAAGCAAAACTCACCTACTTCCAAGACAAGAGCTTGAAATTGGAGATCCAGTATAAGACGGAGGACCAATGGGAACTATGTTTCGCAACCGACGAGCCGCCCATGATCCCCTCAGTCTCCTACCTTGGATTCAGCGCCGAGACAGGAGAGCTGAGTGATAACCACGACATCATTTCCGTGCACACCAAGAATCTTTATGATACGAAATCGAGGGAGGCGAATACCCCCGAGGGACCAGGCAAGATGGGACCCAATAAGGGACGCGACAAGAAGGACGGCTGGAAGAAGAATAAGCAGGAATCTAGTGGAAACTGGAGCTGGTTTCTCTTCAAGATTATCATGTTTATTTTTGTGGTTGGCGGGGCTTATGTTGGGTTCACGGCGTATAGAACTCAGCAGCGAAGGAGTCATCGGTTTTAAGATGGCGGTTGGGAGGAAATGATGTTGGAGGGTGAGAGGAATGGGTAAATAGTGAGTGAAGGGATTCCTTGGAATATCTTGGGCAAGGAATGGGGAAGGGTGGAGGGGACCAAGATGATATTGTATTTGGTTGTAGAAGGAATATGAAATGGAATGAAAGGGGAGGGGAAGAGGGATGTGGAAAGGCACGTGAAGCGAATGAGAATGAGAGAATGAATGATCTTATTATCTTACGTACTTGTCTTGTCTTGTCTTGTTTTATTCTTGTGCCTTTTTTTCTCGATCTTTATAAGAGGAGCAGAGTAGAGGGTGTATATCAAGAAATAAGGAAAGAAATTCTAGGGAATTGTCAATCACTTCTATTTATTAAGTGTACTTGTACTCGTACTCGTTATCGTTGATCTCGGAGGAATCAAACGAAGAGAGGTGGTCTTTAGGTTATGATTGAGGATATGAAACGTGGGTCTTGGCTTTTCATGGGTATGATAGTTTTAAATAGTCCGCAGCGTAGAAAATTCGATCAGTTGAGTTGAGTAGTTGAGTAGTGGCACCTAGTCAACTCAACTCGAGTAGTGAAAATCGCTAATCAACTCAACTCGCCAAGTACTTAATTAACTTATGAGTTACTCGAGTAGTGTCGGCCCGATGTGCCGTAGCGCGCCCGGCCTCGCTAGCCGGCCTCCAAGCGGGCGGTCCACGCTCTCCGACTTAGCCGAGAGCCCCTGTATCGGCATATGCTATTTGAGGACAAGTTTCTTATATTATAGTCACGTTATGTAACTACTTGAATAGTACTCGAATAGTCAAATCCACTACTCAACTCAACTCAACGGAATCACCTAATCATATTGAGTAGTTGAGTATTTTTGTGTTAACTCTGTTCCCAGGCGTTGCAGATCTAGAACCTTTGTTTGCAAGGTGGTTAATATGTCAGTCCTATGGAGTTTCATGGAATTGATTGCTCAGTACTAGTTTGAGCAGGCAACACTTTTATGAAGTAGAATTGTGTTTTGTTATATTATATTTAACAAAACCTCTGTCTTATAAGGTCTTTGTCTCTCTTGCACTCTCTCGCTCTCTCTCTCTCTCTCTTCTCTCTCTTTCTCTCCCTCTCCCTCTCCCTCCCCTCCCTAAATCACTCTCCTCAAACATAAATCCCCATCAGGATACCACCCCTGCCTCCTCCTCCCCAACTCCCTATCCGGTCTCAACGCTATCCGTTCTTCCGTCTCCGAGAACCCCAGGGGATTCCGAGGGATAAACCCCCTGCTTTCGGCTAAGTTGTCGATTGGACCCGTGATGGGTTTTGTGATGTAGAGATGGAGTTCTTTCTTCTTTTGGAATCTGGTTGCGGAGTCTATTGTCCTGTTTTTGAGGGGTTTGAATGTTAGTTTATTTGACTTGAGCGTGTCTTTGAGTGTGCTTTTTTTGTTTGGTTTTGGGATGAAGATGGTGATGGTGTTGGAATAAAAGAGGGAATAAGCGAGATACTCAAAGAAACCCCAGAAAAGGTCCTCAAGAAAGGAAAAGAGTCGAACTTACCACCCACCCGTCCCCGCTCCTCCACGTATATCAATCAACCACTCCAACTCCTCAATCAACCCTCTCGGAAGCAATTCCTGCTTCTCCCCCCTCTCATCTCTCTCACGTTTTATTACATGCCATTGATCCCACATCCCGCGGCAGATCGGTATACAATCTACATACTCGCCTGGATGATTCGTTATCCGGATTTGGTATGGAGATGGATGCGGTGGTACTGAGGAAGGGGCATGTGGGGTTTGGAAATAAGTTGAGTGGTTGAAGGGGGATGGAGATGAGGATGGGGAGTAGGTTATTGAGAGGAGTTTTGTTAGGTGGGTTGGGGTGGGATAGGTGGGGGGTGAGGGTCGGGAGGACATGTTGTTTGAGGGATGTTGGATGTTGGATGTCGGATGGGGCGTTTTGGGGGGTTTGTGGTTGTGTTGTGGGATTCTGAGATGACGTGTGCGAGAAGTTCTCCTGATTTGTGTGGTCTTGAGGTGGTGGTGTTTTGTCTGTAAGATTACAGCTAGTTATTTGTAGCTATGTGCGCCTATTATACCCACAGCTAATACTCTAGATCTCACGCGTAGGTATGCAAAATGGTATTCACTTCTACTTCAACATGGACTTTGTTTACCTTCCCGTTTAGGCTTGACATGCGCGATGGGGTGGGTTTTAGATGGAATGGAGGTTTGTTATATGCGTTATGTATATGGTATACGTCGGGCCATGGCTGGGTGAATGTGGTATGGATCGTGGAAGGATGGGGTCCTTCACTGCTATTTGGATGGAATTTGGATGGGCTGGTGAATGGATTTGTGTTGGGAGGAACTGATTCGCTTAGATGGGTTTGAGATGGGAATACTCGAAGAACGTCCAGTAATCGTGGTCATCCCTGATAATAGATATAGGCCTTTCTTAATATATAGATGGCTTCTATTGTGAAAGTCTTCTCTGTGGTAAGAGGAGTCTTTTTTTATGTTTTTGAAAATGAAGAAATTCTGGAAATGGCGAGCGACTCAAAGAATGCTTTTTATGACAATCTTGCCAGTGAATAGCAGGAATATTATTATTATTATTATTATTCCTTTTAACGTGCTGTGTGAGTCTGAGACTATAGTAGCACGGCTGGGGGTTTCCCTCCAACAGATGAGTAAAGCTGTACTAAATACATGTTTGAGAAGGGGGTTATGGTCATTACAGTTCTTGGGTTGTTGGAAGCAGCTAGGCTTCTGGTTATGACAAAAGAAAAGTTGTTATATTGTAGTACGCCCCCTCGTTTCACGCTCTGTACGCTACACTTCCTCGTTCTCGTCTTCCTCGTCCTCGTCCTCCTCGTCCTCATCTTCGTTCTCATCCTCAGTTGCGCGTTGTGTGTGCCATATTCTAGTGGCGAT